AAATATTTTTTACATTATTAAAAATAAATAAATTTATTAAATATCTATTACATCAGTTTTTCAGCTGTTATACTAAATAATTCTAATATAAAAATGTGTACTACAAGAGGTTGATGGTCCAATGATTCGTATCTAATGGCACACTATTGGATCTACTTTTTCATTTTACAATACTATAGTGAAAATTTAAGAAAATCGAAATTGAAAATCTAGATATTATACCTGCAAGTTTAACAAATTCAGCTAAAGAAATTGATGGTGATGACCAAATTAAACCAAGCAAATTATAAGTAGCAACAGATCTACTTGTAATTGTAAGCTCAACTCTTTGGGGTCGTAGCCGTGGCCCTGAAGGTGCAAGATTCAAATATGAACACTTAAGAGTTTCTTGTATGTTTACTTGAAGTACCCAAAATAACAATTCACAGAATTTGTTAAGTAGTTACAAATTAATTAGGTAAAAGTAAATATGAAGAAAAATAATCTAACAATTTATTTAAAAAAAATTTGAAAATGAAGAATCTAACAAAGGATACTGAAAGTTTTTTTTCGAATAATGTCATGCACCTGTCATAAAACTTAGATTTTTTTTTTTCATTTAATATATACTCTCTAAAGATAATATAAGTGCAGAAAATCAAAATCAAAGAACTAGATAAATAATATAACTATAGATATTAATTGATACATATTCTGCTTTGATATATTACAAAATAAATTTATTAAAAAGTCATTATTTTTTAATTTAAAATTAAAGATAAATAAAATTAAAGATACAAATATATATAAAATATAAAAATTAATTGAATTAATTATATTTATATTATATTTTTTATAGTTAAACTGAACAAGTAAAAAAAATATATATCAAACTAAATATGTATTAATTATTTTCCTACTACTTAAATTCAATAGGAGGCATTGAGTGAGATAGGATCCCTATTATCAGAAGACCCACGTCATTCAATGGTCAATATAATTTAATATAATTGAAACTACACTATATATATATTTTTTAACATTTTATTATTATAAAGTCATCTATAATAATGATAGTCTTCCACTTCTTGGCTCATGCAAGTATAGTACTTTGTTTGATAATGTT